GCTGCCCACCGTGAAGAGCAGCGTCTTGGTCACATGGGTACGTGCTCTGAAAACATCCCCCTCGCGTCCCTTGTTCCACAAGCTTGTCGAGTCCCCCTCCTGCAGGTGGGTCCTTCAGTCCCCATGATCCGCCACCTATCTGCTCCAACTTACTGGCACGCCCCTGTTCCCATTGTTTCGCACCTTACTTCGACGGGAGGGGCAGTACTTTAATCAATAGGTTGACCCGCACCTCATGCAGCTTTCGCCGATAGGGTGAGCCTCGCCCTGACGAAACAGGTAAGTGCCCTACCCAGCGGCTCACTTCCTTACTATAGCATTGGCGGAACTCAAATCAATCTTCTGCTAAAAAGGCAGATAGATACATCCCCTGCATCACTACGCTTCCTCTGCATTTCTAACCCGTCTATTTGCGCGCAGCTCCTATTTTCATACGTGGACTAACTCACCAACTAAAAACCAAACACTAACCTAACTATTATGCTCGCCTTGCTTTGAAGCCCCGACTGACCACCTTCCCTCACTCGACTCCATTTTGGATCGAGCCCGATCTCGACTCTCTCCCTCCCTCTCTCTGTGTGTGTGCAAGCGTGCGGCCAATCCTCACGCTTCTTCCGTCCGGGAAGAGCAGCGACTCGGCCCACAGGTAAGTCTCCGCTTTCACCGCCTGCCCGCAACATTCCCTCCCTCGAAAATGACTGGGAGAAATCGAATGTATCTTCTGCAAGAAGGCGGATGTATTCGTTGCATATTTGCGAATCAGTCCTCCCTCTAGGCGCAGCCTACTTCCTAACTAATTCCTAACTTACTCCACCAATCCAAGAACTAATGATCCCACTGAAATCGCCTTATCAAGAAATCCCGAAATTGAATCCTACTTCAAAGAAATCGGTCAAGATATGACCGAGATATACTAGTTTTCTCTCTCCCACTCCCTTTCACCATAGCTCCGCGCATGGCTTCTTCTTAGTAACTTCCTTCCCACTAACCCTTTGCCAAACTGATGTTCCCAGTAGACTCACCTTATCCTAAAACCTTTACTCTAAGTCTTTTTCCGCTCGATTCTATCAAAAATCGAGTGGTAACCCCTTTCTTCCACCTCGTTCACGCCATCTCCACCCTTGCACGTTCCCGGCGCGCATTCCTGTCCCGATTCGTTTTCTTCTCCTTCCTTAGCTCTAACGCCCGACGCTGGCCTGCCTTCGCCCACTTACTGCTACCAGTCTCCCCCGATGCCTACCATACTCCGCCTCTCATAACCCAGCTCTCTCCGCACGCGCCCTGTGTCTTTCCTCYTGCGCATGTACCCGGCCTGAGTTCGCGACTCGATTCATCCTCCTCCCACCGGCCGGGATCGCCATCCTCTCCCAGCTGCTAGCGCAGCGGCCGACCGTAGCGGACCCACGGCGCCCAACACTGTTTGACGGGCGGCCTGGCCCGTCCTATCGCAGCGGCTAGCCCCACCGCATCTGCCTCCAACAGTCAGCGCCTTCCTAGTCTGCTACCCCGCTGCACTGAAACAGCACTCCTGCATGACTTCCGTAGGAGTCAATACACAGTCGGGCGCCACTCCTTGCTTTATTCTTTCCGAAACTTCGTTAGTCCCCCCCCCCCTTTTTTCCATCTGCCTTATGCCTGAGTCCACCAAAACAGCTCGAGCTATCCTGAGGAAACTTCGGGGGGGGCCTGCTACTAAACGGATCGACTAGTCTTTCGTCCCGACTGTGGCGCCCGGGCCTATCCCGCCCAGGAACACCTTACCTCTACGGGGTCCCAAAGGGCATGCTCCCACTCAAACCGCATCCCCTTCCGTAAACAAATGCTA